AAAAAAAGTATTATTTCTAAGGAGGCGCCAGACTCGGTACCTGGGGAGGCGGCTGCTCCTCCCTCCTGTCTCCCTTAAAATACGCCATTGCAAAAAAATACATCTAAATTTAAATTAAATATTAAAAAAAAAACAAAAGGTGTAAGTGCGTAGCCAGCAATAGGCACTCTCGATGGCATGGGTCATGGATGCGTTCCAGCAATGGATCAAACAAGGTGTGCTTCACAGAAAGGCTTGAATGCAGACATTTGGCAAAGTCCTTGCAGACTCTTTTTTTTGTCATGGGCAAATTTGACATCACGAAGCAATTACTTCATTCATTCATTAGGGCGATCGGCCCTAATTCATATCATGGCTGGAAAAGAAAACAAGTGCCGGTGGTCGAAGGCATGCGATCATTATTCTGGCCGAGATGAAGTGCTTCTCCGAACTTGCACGAAAAATGTGCAATCCGGGTTAACATGAACAAGGGTTAACATGAACAAGGGTTAACATGAACAAGGGTTAACATGAACAAGGGTTAACATGAACAAGGGTTAACATGAACAAGGGTTAACATGAACAAGGGTTAACATGAACAAGGGGTAACATGAACATGCCCGTGCATGTTCAACTTGCGCAATTTGGATGCGACATGTACACGTGGCTCCAGGATTCAAGTGCAACTCGGGCACATTGTATCGTTCCCATCCGTTCGATATGGGATGGATGGTGGCCGGGGGCAACGTTCGGAAGATGGTGCTTTGCCAATATTGCCAACATTCGCGAAGCGATATCTCCCCTGTTCTGTGGCTGGTGTCTTTTGCCAACATTGCGCCAGTAATGGCAAACCAGCCTAGGGCCATGAGTGGGCCAAGCTAGAGCCACGATTGGGCCAAGTTCGACCCAAGCTTTTAGCCAATATGCGGTACCTTTTTCCAACTGCCCTAACTCCCAGATGTTGGGTTGCAAATGCCGACTCGATCAAATAATACTCTGAGCTCTGTGAAAATAACGCCAGGAACCCCAATCCAAAGACAAAGACACTGTACTTGCTATACCAGTCTTGGAAGCTTCGATGCACCCGTAATGCGCTTCTCTTCCGACTCCACTCCTCTCTCCCCGGACAATATTGCACCTCAATGGAAGGGGGGGGGGGACCTGTCATCGTTTCTTTCTCCTATCGGCATTCTCTCAGACGTGTTTTCCCCTCTTTTCCGGAGGAATTCCCTAGTTCTCCGATAGGCCTGCAATTTAGGGAGAGCTGGATTTAGGACACAAGAACAGTGTTGAAGATATCCCCTCGCGAGAGCAGGCCTCCATGATGAAACGGTAAAAAATGACATTGGCGAGAAAAATAATCTTCCATGAATGTTCCTAATGAGTATTTATTCATAATAAAAAAAAGTGTTGCAGTTCAAATGCTCAAAGTTCGACTAATTAAGAGCTAAAACGACGACTGTCAATTCGTAATTTGTTCGAGTAGATCGTTAGTTGAACATTATTTACTTCCTGAAATTGTTTATTTGAGATAAGACCGTCCAGCTAGTAATTAATTAGTAGTTAATAATTGGCTAGTAGCTAATAATTCACCCAGCCTTTCTTGAAGCTTTTCTTCTTCTCGATGCCACGGTTTCCTCTGTGTTTTTTTTTTTTTTAGGGATGCGGGTCCTTCATGCACTAAACCTGTCCCTTTAAATCGATTTAAACGGATTTCCGTTCGGCTAGCCGCAGCAGGCAGGTTAGTTTTCCTTCGGGCGTGGCCATCGAGGGGTTAAGTCGGGTGCACCAGCGGAAAAAAAAGATATTTATAACGGTTTAAGTATTAAACTTAATAATGGTATTGACTATTTTGCTCAATCTGGAATAGTTAAAAAGTAATTGGCTGTTGAAACCTCTCCCGGACTTCACATCAACCCCGCAAAGTGCAAGAAAAAGGAGCATCCTCTCCGTAACTCCGGAGACCTGAAGCACTCCGCAACCATCCAACCGATCCACGAGTGCGGCAAAGCGCCCTCCCAACACAACGGTGGCAATTCGGACCTCTTCGCGGTCGGAAAAGCACCGAAAGCATAAAGGGACACCTCCGCACTCGGGTTCGCTGTGTGCTCCCTCCTCGCCCTTCCTCCCTCCTCGCCCTTCCTCCCTCCTCGCCCTTCCTCCCTCCTCGCCCTTCCTCTTCGGGCCCAGGCCACCGCATGGATGCCCTTGCAGAGCGCCCCGACCGGAAGGCCAGCCTCTCCCCTCGGCTTCCACGCAGACGGCCCGGAAGCATCGTGGGTCATTCCACCGGATCTCGACCGGATTGGCACGAAAATCGGCATGCACGTGGAGGACTCGATTTAAAGAAACTTGTTAAGATTTAAGCTTCATTTTTGTGTCAATTTAATTGTTAAATAGCCGTCGTGAAAGGGATTTTAAGCACTATCCTCCAAATAATAAGTTAGAGAAAGCGTAGGTTCGTAAGTTTGAGGAATTTTAATATTTTTGAATTTCATTCATACAACATACGTTCACTCCCTAAGACTTTTGCATCATTATAATTATTTGAAATAGAAAAATGTTGGAAACATGTGGGAACCTAATGAATGTATGCAGGAGACCGCCGGCCAAGAGAGCACCACTGTGCTTCGCGATGCCATCGAAATCCGTTTTTATTTTAGCAATGGATCCAGGGAAATAGATGTATAATCCGTGAAATGAACTCGCGCGAGGATTTTACTTTGAAGAAGAAGCGTTGCTGAAACCTGAAGCATCAAATACATGAATGATATTTAAATATAAATGAGTCAGGTATAAATGAAGCTGACATCTGGAATTCCTCAGTATTGAAGAATTTCCAGAAGGCTGCATGAAATGCCTCCTGGCTCGACGGCAGATCTTCCGAAGTGAAGACATCCGAAGAAAGGTCGCCCGAAGCCAGGTCGCCGCCCAGGTCGCCCTTGTCCTTGTACCCCAAATCCGGGTCGTCCAAATCCGGATCGGCCAAATCCGGTCGCCCAAAGCCTGTTCCCCCGAAGCCTGTTCCCCCAAAGCCAGGCCGTCCAAAGCCAGGTCGACCGCCCCCCTGAATATCGATTATCTCAGTACCCCCAGGTCTATTGATGTCAATTATCTCGCTGCCCCCAGGTCTATTGATGTCAATTATCTCGCTGCCTCCAGGTCTATTAATGTCGATTATCTCGCTGCCTCCAGGTCTATTAATGTCAATTATCTCGCTGCCTCCAGGTGTATTAATGTCAACTATCCCAGTGCCTGGTCGTCGCCCAGGGAATTGTCGGTTATCCGGCAATCCAGCATTCCCATCAGTACTCGCTCCATTCCGTCCAGTCTCCCGGTTTTGCGATGACCTACTCCGCCCCGCAAACTCATTGTCTCGACCCCTTCCACCTGGAAAAGGGACGGAAACGATCCAGGATGATAACGATCCAGGATGATAACGATCCAGGATGATAATGATCCAAGATGATAACAGTAGACTAGCTGAAATTCAAGGACAGTGGAAGATACAGGGTTGTGCAAAAGTTCCCGTACACTTTGAAAAAATTTTTTTTCACTAATGAACGGATTTTTTGCGATTCTGATGCAGAATTCGACTCATTAATCTTTTTTCATGCTGTTCTATGTAAATAATAATTCAACTAACTAGCCGAGGTTAAGGTTCATCAAAACCTCAACCTTGTGAAAGAGAAGAAAGTCCCGAAATCCGGGACTCCTTCGGGAAAGCGACGAAATTGTCTTCGAGTTTTGACGATTAGGTTAGATTTGGTTAAATTAGATTAGGATTTCTCGATCGCGATACGGAATTTTGAGGAATGTCCCGTGGACATCGTCTGCTTAGATTCCGCAAAAGGCTCGCGATGATCCAGGCCAGGAGGAGTCACCGAATCAGTAACCGTCGCGCAGAGAGCCCCATGTAACGGGAAAAGGGCGAAACGCCGACGGAAATAGGAACGAAAAGCCAGAAATTGGACCCGAAACCTGGCCTGCATCAACGATTCAGTAGGGGCACAGCGAGCCGAAACGGCGAATTCGTCGACCACAACAAAATAAAAGGTTTCTTTATCTGATGAGGACAGGGCTAGAGCCGAGGATTATTTACGGCTTTGGGACGAATGCAGAACGAGATCGCCCATGAGATTTAATGAATGTCAGTGCATGGTACTTCTCGTCGGTCGCAGCGCTTTGTCGTGCAACGAATTAGATCTCAAAAGCTGAAGAAGGCCAACGATATGGATTAATATATATAAGGGATTATATATTAGATATTAATATCTATAAGGAACTCCAGTCCTCTTTTCTCCTCGTACCTGCCAGTGACGGTAGTTAAATTCAACGGTATCCTCGGCCTCATCCGACGTTCCATTCTCCCATTGTAAGACCGGTAAGACCTCATTTAAAGAATTTAGGTTCAGTTTTGCGCATCAAAATTGAACTCACGGCGTTCGAGAGGGTCCAGAGACGGGCCAAGAGAATAATGGAGGAGGTTACGGGGTCTTCCGTATGTGAAGCGTTTCGAAGCCTTTAACGACCGAACTTTAAACTTGAAACCCCAGGTGAGGCGCATGCCGACACAGAACTTCCTTACTCGGTGGGCCGCATCAAGCGTGGAATGCGTTAAGCGACGACGGCTGTTCCCGTCATGGCAAGCTTTCAAGAGGCGGCCTCCTGCATTCATCGACGAAGAAAAGAGGGAGCAGCGTGGATGTAGACGGCGAGACGGTGAGTGCCTCCCGCAAAATCTCTGGGAAGGCCGTGCCCATCCCGCGATGGCGAACGCTCGACCTCCACCCCCCGGGGGGAGGATTCGCCTCTTGACATCCCGAACAAATCCTTGAACCTTAAACGACGAGCGATAAAGCATCCTAAATATTTGAAGGCTATTTGCGGTGGAGACTGAAAGGGGTATTTCCAAGTGCGAGCCTAAAACGTAACTTGCTAACGATGTCACCAACGGTTTTTCAATAATGACGATTTGTGTAACTTCCGGGACGAGGAATTAAATTCGAGATGCGCAGAAATCATTTCATTCCCAGTCGAGCGATGAGCGGCAGACCTGCATCGTCGAGGAAGGGCTGGGGCTCGAGGGCGTTGGCCCTGGCGCAGGACACGAGGCATCGGATCTTCGGCGAGGAACTCGTGGGTCCGAAGGCGGCGAGTTGGGCTTCGAGGGTCCGCCCCATCTGCACCGGGCTCCTCAGCTGGCTCTCGTGCCCGCACAGGCTGGAAAATTGGGAGATGCAACCCTGTTTCCGAGAGGAATCCTAGGCAAAACGCATAGGTGGACATACTAAAGCGTTTGGAGAGGTAATCACGCTGCAAAACGGTACCTCCGGCACCTCCAGTACCTCCGGTACCTCCAGTACCTCCGGCACCTCCAGTACCTCCGGCACCTCCAGTACCTCCGGTACCTCCAGTACCTCCGAGACTAAACTGAGTCTGAATCGTTAAAACCAAGTTTTAATCACACAACCAAACGCTCTGTCCACGTAATCAGATCAACGGCTAGGGTTAAGGTTCGACCACCGAGGAAATACCGTCCAACGTTTGAATCATCGTCTAACTTCGAAGGTATTGAAACCCATCGTCGTGAAACAAAAAGCCTTATTTAAAACCACTTTTATTTTGTCTTATTTGCGGAATCTGCTCATTTTCGTTTTCGCAACGACTCGCACCAAATCGTTGCGTGATGAACCCATACTAATGAGCAAAATTATTGCATGCAGCAAAAGCAACTGGTTTATCCTGAAGCTCTTGGTTATCCGCCCGGTAATGGGTTTAAAAAGCATCAACTCGGCCGGTACTGGGCAAGTTGGCAAGTTGGCAGGCAAGTTGGAAAAATAAAAGTACCGATATTATTTCTTGCATGTACTTCATACATTGAGCTCATACTACCTCGCAGTTTCGCATCAGAAATTGGCCAGAGCCATCCGTTATTTTCCAGGCCGACAAAACCGACTTCACCGGTCGGCCCGGCATTTTTTTCCCTCACCTGTTGCCGTCGACGACGGAATCGGCGTTCCCGCAGGAGTCGGAGAGGCCTGATCGACGAACACGACATCGAAAGGACGGTCGGGCACTGGAAGAACGCATTCCACAAATAAAATACTGAAGAAAAATATAAAAAAAAACCATTGGGATGAAAAAAAAAAAAAAAAATGTCCCACCGTGAATTTGTATCTGCAAACTCGGGCGTTCGGATCCCCGCTCGCTCCGATCGCGTCCTTCACGTCGAGGGATTGTCGTTGTCGGAGCTCACGGAGGAAACTCGACACCAATTTGGTATTATGCAGAATTTTCGAGAAAACGTCATGTACAAAAAGGCAGATTTCAGTATTTTATTTCCATTAAAAAAATTATTCATCGATAAAATTGCATCCATTCACGCGAGTCAAGCCATGTTGACGTCGCGGCGCGAACGGAATAGCTTATTTGTTCATGAATATAAATATAAATATAAATATAAATATAAATATAAATATAAATATAAATATAAATATAAATATAAATATAAATATAAATATAAATATAAATATAAATATAAATATAAATGTAATGGCGAAGGTCCACCAATGAAAAAATAGATGAACCTGCACATCAAACTCTAGATTAACCAATTCTGCGCCGCATTAAAATGAGATGAATGGAGCGAGAACGTATGAGTCATCCTTCGTGGGGGAATTGCTGATTTCTTTGAGTCCACTTTGAGGGACGATGTGAAAAACTTCAAACTTATTGTGTTTTTTTTTGTTTTTTTTTTCGTTGGAATGTCTCCGAGTGGATTCCAGGAATTTTCAAGCCGAACGAGAGTAGTTGTAATACAGATTTGTATGTTATGCCAGGGGAGTCGAATTCGAATGCAGGTCGTGTCGAATGCATTGGAATATGAGCAAAAATGTCCCGGAAGATGCGCCTGCAAAACGCCGATAAGAGAATATTTTTTCCGAATGGCATATGTCATTTTAATGACGACCATGACATGAAATTCAATCGGGATTCAAAAAGGAAGGCGGAACGGAGGGAGGCGTCGAGCTGCGCCCCGATCCCATTTAATCCAAAAAATTTTTTTCACTCAGATGATGCCGCCGTGATGCATTAGGTACACGAGGCTGTCTCTCTTCCCTCAAGGACAAAACGGGAGAACCGGTCGCGACAGGACTGGCACTGGGTCATGGGCGAGCGCGAGAGGATGCCAGGATGCAAGTGCCTTACCAGCTGATGCTCCCATTCGAGGATTCGCTGCATTCCGTGGAGTAAAGATGGGGAGCATGAGGTTGCTGTCATGTGGGGTGTGTCCGATCGAATTTTTGCATTCAGACGTCTAAATGGGAGTGCCGGGCGAAAATGGTGTGAAAAGGGATATGTCGGGAACCCTTAGAACGCACTTTATAATTCAAATGCATGCCGTAACGAGACGATTTGCTTTTGGTAAGAAGGCTTATTCCTTTATTTTCCTATTTAGTTCCCAGTATTTGACCCTATATACGTAAACAGGAGTCTTCACTTGAAACTGAAAGCTTACTAGGAACTGTTTCAATGAAGTGCAATGAATATAGTGAAGCCTAGTAAGGCTGGAGTTCTTTAAGGACAGAAGCCCGTGAGGTTCACAGGGTAATCTCTGTCTGTGCACCCAATATTAACTACATGGATAAGTGGCCGATTAAGATCTCGATATATCCCCTGCTAAAATGAACCGAAGCGAATCCGATCGGGATTCAATCCTGCTCCAACTCGATTCAAAAAACGTCCTTCTCTGAATAGATTGATTTCACAACATTTTTTGCCAATCGCATTCGTACGATCGGAAAGGCTGTGAGTCGCAGGCAGGCTTTCTTCCAGGTCGATCCGGATAATCCAGAGATATACGAGACTTACGAGAATCACTCAGAATCTTCACATTGTATTCGATTTCGCTGCTTTTCAAAGTGACCTCGAAAAGGCGCAGCATCGTGGAAGAAACAAATTCGAATAGGATTTCCAGACACCATTCTCTTGGGATTCTCGATCTGAATAGATGGAACTCGCCTTCGAGCTGGAGAGGAGGAAGTGGAGAAACCAGAGGAAGGGCCACATCTTCGAAGAGTGAAACGGAGAGAAATGTGCTACGAAAACAATGGCGATCTAGCCCTGGTTCGTAGAAGAAACCAGTTTTGAAAATTTCTATTTCCACGGTTTCGTCATGCCTCAGGTTACAACGAACGATGGTTCGATGCCCGGTGCAATTAATTAACGCAAATCGCGTACAGGGCCATCCCGCCACTTTCTGGGAATGGTTTTTATATGTTAGAGCGTTGGATGGCAAATATTTGGATCCAGCAGATGTACCCGGCGTTCCACGGATGAATATTGT